TGGCTTTCGTGAAAGAGGAAATGTATGGAAACGCCGACGCTGTTTTCGCTGGAGCGTCCTGTACAATGGGAGTCTCCAAGCTTTGGCTTGGGCTAACACCCTGTACAAACATTGTTCTCGATCTTTTGCCCCTTAAGTCTAGTCTAGGCCCGGCGCCCCGCCACTCTACAGCATCGCTTTCACAACTCACTCTAGGTCAGCTGGCAGCGGCCTGCAAAGTGACAAATTTTGAAACTGCCCTGGGTCCTTGGCACTGGCTGTGGATTTCCCTTGCTGCACAAAAAGGAGAGTTGCGACGGCCACATTACAGCAACGACAAAATTACCTTACCGCGAGTGATCCCGACCATGACACTTCAATCTGTTTTCTCACGTCGTGGTGAGGATTGAACAGTCAAACACAGTGACTCACGCAGGTCTTTTGTTTAAAGCAAAATCTGTTGTAACACAAATGCCGGGCCAACTTTTCAATTCATCTCATTCGGCCTGGCGGCAGTTGCTATCTCAGGTTTGATCTGTCAAACAGAAGTATGTCAAAACATGCCAACCCATGCCGGCATGTCGCCTGTCAGGTGTTTGTGCATAAACATGTCCGTTGAACAAACATGCCAACCCATGTCGATTTGCCGCCTGTCAAGTGCTTTGCGCATAAACATGTCAGCTCGCCACCTGAATCAGAAATGCAAACGAGACAGACCGCTCCAGTCAAAACCGGTTAGGTCCCTGTTGGCTTCCAACTCGTCAGCATGACATAGATAGCTAACCACCAGAACAGCTATCTTCCATCATCAGCATCGATTCTGCCAGCTGTGGCCACACATCCAATTCTCCCACTGGGTCAAAATCGCCCACCAAAATCCGGCGCCTTTCCAATTCATCATGAAATTGCATTCTGTCGGGCACATTTCTCCAAGCCACCTAGCTACGATAGGCAACAGTGGAATTGAACCAGGGCAATAAGATCGGTACCATTGTCTCTGCTGCCACAGATGCCGCCAGCTCTTGACACAACAACACCAGGCGCAAAACTCGCAACAAAACCTTCCATATGAACCTGAAGGAGCAGCATCGCTCCACGCGCGGTATCATGCGCCACGCGTCTGCAAAAAACAAGTGTCATCCAATCGCAGCACCATTCAGGCATCGCGCCCCGAACCAGGAAAGGCGTGAAAGGTATTCATGAAATAATATTCATGGAGTGCCAATGTATCATGGAGTCAAGGTACCATATACATGTTTACGTGTATATATATATATATACATATACAGTACACGTCTCTGTGTCTCGTGGCCCACGCTCAACTGAGTAGTGAAGTTGACAGAGGAGCAGATGTTGCTAGCAGTCACGAGGCAAGCGTCAAGCGCTGGGCACAGCGCTTCTTCGTCATGACACGAAGGCAAATGCTAGTAGTAAAGAGAGACAAAGCGAAAACGAAGTGCTCCATTGGGAAAGTCCAACCGCGCCTAACCCCGGGAACCAAGACACATAGTTTCCAACCTGGTAGCGGTAGTAGTAGCGGTAGTGTGGTGGCAGCGGCGGCGGCGGCGGTGGTGGTGGTCGTGGTCGCGGTCGTGGTGGACGCAATATATATGTTGGTTGTCAACGGTGCCCGATCATTGTTGAAGTAATGAGCGCGCCCCGAGCGGACATTGTAGGCGCCCAGTGTGAGCACGCACGAGCGCGTTGCAACAGCACCAGCAAGCAGGACCTATATAGGTCTACATAGTGGGCGAATATATAGCGGGCGCGCTATATGAGTTTGTTATCAACGGCGCTCAATCACTGTCGACACAGGAGCGCGCCCCAAGCGCGCAGTGTAGGCACCCAGTGTGAGCGCACGAATACCCCTGCCGCAAATCAGTTCGGCAAATTTCGCCGTATCTTCCCAACAACTCAACACACACCCCGCGGCCACGAGTTCTTCGTGGCTCTACTCTGCCAGACCTCCCCAGGTCAAACCAGTTCAGTCCCACACTGGGAGTTCTACACATGCAAAATGCGAACGGGTGAATCTGTCAGCTTCATCCTTCCAAGCCCTGCGCCTTGGAAACGCAACCTATACCTCTATCCAGCTCGTCCTTTTACATCAGTGCTCTTTTAAAAGCGCATGCATACATGTTCGAATACTACTTGGGCACACGCTGATCGCCTGATCACCTGAGCAAACATCTTCAGCACTTACACAACGGCATCAAACACACGCAAGACAGACTACACAAGCCATATCCTCTATCCCCACCACCAAGTCTCCGATTTTTCCGTTCCATCTTTCCATCTCCACATTTATCTACATAGATACAGATATCTTTATATCTTTCTATCTAACCAGTTGTGTGTTTTCTGCGTTAACACCATTTCATCCTATCGCCCATCATCGAGCGTACGCCACCCTGCCTCTGTCTTGCGACATCACACCAACGACCACTGTCTACTCAAATGCAAAGCATGCTTGCTGTCAACTGTTACCCCTGCGCCTGAACAAATCTCACACATGAATGCAAAACTCTTGCTGTATCATATCAGATCTGCGTGGAAGCTGCAAGTTTGTTGCTACGTTGAGTGTTCGTTGCGTGTGTACATGTGCGTCGAACATGTGTAGCAACTACCTGGTATGTGAACCTGGCGAGGTTGATGAGAGCCATCAACCAAGTGTCACATGTACTGACGCACTAGCGTCACAAAGGAATACTGCATGTTGACACAATGCTCGGGCCTTTTTCTTGTGCTGTGTTGCGCTTCTTTGGTCGGGTAGCTTCACGCAGGGCCCGGAACTATGGAACCGCACCACAGCAGCGGTCATGGCGGCATTGGGAGAAGATGATGTTGTCAACATCACCACCCTGGCCACCCTGGCTCCACTGTGAACAACCTTCAATGACAATGTACAAGATGATGCATCTCATTTTTTGCAGAAGCTGGTCAGTTTGGCAAGCTCCAGTAAAGTCATCACGAAATACCACCATGTGGATTTTCGCCCAGAAGTCCATTTGAGGGATGCTTCCCTGCACATATGATCTTCCCGGAAGACGAAGGCAATGAATTCGAGAACCTGATCTCAAAGTGGGCAAATACGGCTGATGGTCAGGTGCTTTCAGACAGAGGACTATGGGTGGCACAGATAGGGAGGTTTACCCACACAGATGGGGAATGGACCAAACACCACAAGCCACTCAACGTCCTGCCTGTTTGAGCTTCTGGTTGAGAGGCGGTTCACTGTTCTCTGGCTCGACAATTTTCTCCACAGCCTCCTTGAGCTCTGTGGGAAGGCTTTGTAGATGTTCTTTGATCAAGGTCGGCAGGTCCGGTGGCGGAGTTGGCTCAGCCCCTGATAGCCCCATGGCCTCCAGTTGGCTGCGCACTGCCTCCGGGATTGTGGACCAATGCTCTTGCAGCTTCTTCTCTACGTTGGTCTGTTTGACTTTCTTCTATTTGGATGCTTGTCCTCCTTGTAGTCCTGGTGGTGGTGTCACCAGTACATCTTTGTAGCTCCCTCTGGGGCCCTTGCTGACCATTGTGGTTGAAATTCCGAGCCGCCCATTCTATTCGTCGTCGTTCAAGATCAGGAACTGTCTTGCTTGCACCATTTGCGACCACATTGGTTGCATGCTAGATCTGGCTGATGCAGCAACCTGTCCTCCCAAAGCCAGCTCTGTTTACATCCTGTGCAAACTAAGTAGCTCCGTCGCATGGTCAAACCACCCTTCTCGGATACAAGGACTCCGTTGGTGTTCACGCAAAGTGCCAAATGAGGCTGCCTGGAATCCTTGAGCCGAGATCTTGAGCCGTATGTATGTATGTATGTATGTCTGTCTGTCTGTCTGTCTGTCTGTCTGTCTGCCTGTCTGTCTGTCTGTCTGTCTGTCTGTCTATCTATCTATCTATCTATCTATATACACTAGTAGGTTGGAGGCCATCGCTACCGTAGTGGCCGTGTGGCCGGTGGCAAAAGTCGTTTTTACCCGCCCTGGAACTCGGCCATGGACAACTGCATTGACCCAGAAAATATTGCGTAAGGGACAGAATGTCACATACAGTACTTGCATCACATACACTACATTACATTACTTACATAACATTGCATAACAACTCATAACAGTACATAGTACATTGCATTACATACTATGTCACTATGTTCCAAGTTGTTGTTCCAATCCATTGCCTTCTGCACCTCCAACTGGCTGAATAGCAAAGATGAGGCTTGAACCTGTCGTTGTCTGATTGGTTACTTGGAAATGTGCATCGGAAGTAACCAAAAACCATGTGGATCTGTAAGAACTCTGCAAATGCCTCCTTTCCCTCTGTCAAGTTCTGGAAGTCATCCCTCAATTCTGGGATTGGCCTAACAACACTTTCTGAGCAAGTGAAACTCTCTGAGACGACCAGACCAAGTCAATTCCAATCGCCCCAGCCTCGGCGCTTCACCCACTTTGGCAAAGATCGCCTGGCAGCTGAGTTTTGAATACAGATAAGTGCCCAAAACGGGAGGAAATGCGCCTCTGCTGCTATAGGGATGAACGGCGCAAAAAAATGCGCCAAAACATAGACAGCCTGCCAAGCCAACCCTTCAGATCCAAAATTGTCGAAAGAAAGAGAGACTCCAAAAATCCCAGGAAAAGCTTCACAGAAATCCATTGTGCGCTTAATTACCGTCCTCCAGGAGTTTCCGTAGGGAAGCAGCACGAAGCTCTTGCTTCTCTTCTTCCTTTCATCAAATGGTTGTCTGAAACAGGTTCACAAATTTCAATTGGTCACAATATGACATCACTTCTATGGAGTGTGACCTGCAATCTGGACGTTGATGGAGACATGTACAGACTTCTTGGTTTGAACAAAAATGTGGTTCAAGATCTTCGAGGCTGCCTTGCATGGCTTTTGGACACGGGGTTTGCGAATCTCGATGAAGTCATGTTAAGCGCCATCCATGTCATCCTCCACAGCCCACCTTCATCTTCCACGGCTCCAGGTTGGCAATCCACTGGCAGCAGGTGAGTGATGGCTGGGAGCAATTCAAAGGAGGAACCCAGTGCTTGCAGTGCAGTAGAGTACAATGTGAATCTCAGCAAGTGATGAAGAAAGGATGTCAAGGTCCTTGCGCATCAGAATCGACCAGTGAAGGTTGACTGGTGGCTAGACAGTGAAACTGTGGAGAACATGCCAAAGGGCAACGGCAACCAACACAATGCGCAAAGGAAAGACGCAACAAAAACAAATGTTGCAGTTGAAAAGAGTACAAGCTTACATATTGGCTCTGCTTGAACAATGGTCAAAGGAGTCAAATGTCCCATATAATGAACAACCGTGTTCAATAGGAAGTTTCATATGCCCAGAAGGCGCGCTCGGGAAAGGTTCGGTGACTGACCTTGTTTGTGGCTCCAGCAGCTCGCACAGTGAGGTCAGCTGCATCTGACAGGCGATACTTCTCAAATGCCTCAAGAGACAATATAGCATAAGGACAAAGAGACAGATACAAAAACGAAAAAACAAGCATCTCCAGCATCATGCAATTACATCAGAACTCTGATGCAAAGTGCACTTCATCTTTAAATATTTTGAATCAATCTGTTTTATTGAGCTGTCTGTAGGGCGAGCAACGGCCATGTGATATGTGTGCTACTATCTACCACCTGTTCTGTGTCATTCATCGGACCAATCAAGGGCGAGGCATCGTTCACACCGGACTTCAGCTCTTTCAGGTCAAATGGAAGAGGAACCAAATCTTCCTTGGCACACCTCGGTACCTGACAAGTTTCCACAGTTCACCGGGCAAAGGACATGCCAACCATCGAGTGCGCACTTTGCCGCCACAAAGGGAGACAGCGCGATTCACCAAATTTCCCAGGTTGTCACCTGGGCAACAGTTGCATGCCAAGAATGTGGGGAAAATGACAATATTGGTTTGGTGGGTAGTTGTTGAGGTTCGATTGGTTGTTTCAGAAATCGTTGCCGAGACATGAAAGCCGCCATGACAAAGAGTGGAGTCTTGGAGCCAATTTGGAGCCATTTCATCTTTGGTCAGCCGAGCTGCAAAGCTCCGCGTTGTGCATCAAGCGAAGAGAGTCCTGGCACAAAAAGCTTGAGCCTCGCCATCCCAAATTGGATCAGATCAGAAGATATCAGAAGTTCATAGAAACCGATTTCAGTCAGGATTTGTTTTCCATCGTTGTGTCTGTCATTTGCTATATTTGCATATGGTGCTCAGATGATAAAATGTCTCTCACTGGGGATAGGTGCATGGCAGGTCAAAATCCGAGAGCCTCGTTGAATCTGATATCATCACCATAAGGCGCCTGTCTCAAGTGATGGACTCTTCGAGTAATTCTAGTGAAGGGACCTGCAGAATTGTGCAGAAGTGTGCTGGCCTCACGACACATGTACCACCGCAAAGTATCGCATGGGGCCTTATCTAGCCTCGTACAGCGTGACAATCCGTGACATATACCAAGGCTGGCGAGGTCGGTGAGGCCCCAACATGTCGTGTGGGTCGACCACATTGCCCAAGCTCTTGGACCTGGCAATTCCAATATATCCTGACAAGATACGTGCATGAAAATATGGAGAAAAAGAAGAAACAGGAAGGTGTTTGGGTCCTTTCCGGAAGGCCCCCTTTAAATGGAAACACCTTCCTTCTTTTTCACTCAAGTCACACTTGATTCACTGATTGTCCCAGGGCGGAGGCATTTTTCGTCCATCTGCTCCAGCGATGAACCCGTGCACGACAACACTCTTTGGCAGAGGGATGTCTGGCGAGAGAGTACGAAGTCAATAAAGATCAATGACATGACAACAAATGCACAGCTCCTGCACTCATCAGCATAGCCGGCCAAATCACGGAGTGAAACCAATGAATGTCCTATCGAGCCCAGCGAAGCAGCGCAGTGTTCAACACTGCATTGCACTTTAGAGATCCAAAAACAGTCAGCTTCCGGCCTTGCCCACTACATGCATGTTGGCAGGCCAGAACCGACTGAGAGGTTTCTCAGGGTAGATGCCGTCCTTGCTGAAATTGTGCCAATCGAGTCTGACAGAACTCGGATGCACTGATGTCTGTGACTTTGATTCTTCCCAATATCTGTGACCCAAGGACCCTGCAACACCGCTCAAGTAGTTGATGAGGGCGTCGAACCAAACATACATCACCTGGCATGTCACGCTGTGGGGATGGATATCTACAGCTTTCAGTGCTGCCGTGTTGGCAATGTCAGCTGACTATTGTGATTTCGGTGCGACCCTGCAAAAAATAGTTTGTTGATGTGCTGTACGTGGGTTGTGCCGGGTGCACTGGAGTGTCGCTTGAGCGACTCGACTTGCCTTCAAGCCTGAGATGGGCCTTGGGCGGTTTGGATCATAGCCATAGCTTGATCTGAAACAAAGAAAGAAAGTTCGTCTCGCTGCTCAAGTTGCTCTCGGCGTGTTTCTTTATGTGCTTTCGGCCCAGGTGCACAGTCCAGCGAAGTGGGACGAGGATAGCCCTTGTGTATCATCAGCATAATTGCCAGGACGTACAGCACTGATGCCCGACTGGCTGGCAAAGGCTAGCAAAGCCCTTTGTTCCGAAGATCATATCCAATGGGGATGCTGCCAGCCAGCCACTACTCTTTGACACTGTATCTCTGGGCTGCTAGGAACCACTTGGGACTCCAGCTTTAAAATGGCCCCTCCTCCACTGGGAATATCATCCTTGAGTTTCCCAATTTGACCCCTGCATGAACGCACGAAACAGGTAGTTATTATGTGTATGAGTGCGGATGAACATGAAGTAACTATTCGTCTACATATGCAGCAAGTGCCAGTGGTCAGACTCCCTGCACCTGAGTGGGTGGTTTCAAGATCAGGTCAGGAAGACATGTTGTTTGCCGTCGACTTTGTCCTCTGGGCATGTAACCTCAGGCGCTGCCATGGAGCTAGGCGCACTCAGGAACCACTGCTCCTTTTTCGCTAACTTGCATCTCATGCCATTTCCCACTGCACCAAACATGCATAGCCCCTCCCGGCTTCGGCGTACAGTGCACAACTTGACAAACGCATGTTTCGTACATATATATATATATCACAAATCACAAACAACACTCAAGGGCCTGACTCCCCAATCAAAGGTGCCACGACTGATGGATAGATCCCGCAACTGGCAGGTGCAATCAACCAAGCAGTGGAAATGACCTACAATTTTTTGACAAGCACTCAAGAGATCAAGAAAGTAGCTGTTGCAAAAAGCCTGCAAGGACATACAACTGCAATTCTGCGGCCGTTTTGGCATCAGTCACGCTGCGCTCTGATGCCGAAAATTGCATCTACATAGGCCGGCTACGCCCAAGACTCAACCGTGGAGATCTTATCTTGGTAAATCATCAGTGACAGCCTCAGGCATCTGAAATTGTGCAAAAGACAGCACGAAGGCACGGCTTATGTTAAATATATATACATATATATTACACACGTATAAAATCGGATAAAAGGGAAACTGCCTCTTGACCCCTTGGTCGGGAGAAGCCCCACAAAAATTGAGCACTGCCAATATTGAGCATGGACTATGGAACTTGTGCAGCATGTGCTGCATTTGCGAAAAATGCCTCACTGTTTTCTCTCTGTTGTCTGCTTTAAATCCAAGCTGGTACAACTCACACCCTGGCGCTGGGATCAAAGAGATGGAGTAGCAAACACGCAATAGAATAATATATTGTGAAGCCTAACTACAAGCCATAACCAGAACTCTATGCGGCGAGGCAGTATCGTTTGGTGACCACCAGGCACAGTACTTTTTAAAGTTAAAAAAGTGTTGCATCCCCGTTTGCCACCTAAAAATATTTTGTGCTGAAGCTCAAGATCCTCTTCGGCACGCAAGAGCAACACCAATTTCTATAGTAGTCAGCCTAAAGTTATCTGAAAGATTCAAAAAGTAATTGCCCGTGCTCGGAGAGGAAGAAACCTTCTAAGGAAATGTTAAGTGTCTGTCAATCACAATGTACCGCAAATCCAAGCAAGGAACACATTTGCCAAAATGGGAGCGCAAAGCTTCGGCTGCCTTGTAAGCACTGTATAGGCAGCCTCAACCAAGCCGCATCCAAGCGACATAATTGAATGATATTGAATATATAAACAACTGAGATGATTATCCTTGTCATCCCAAGACTTGCAAACACCAAAGTCCAAGAGCTTTTCTTGGTGCTGATTACAACACATCGCAACTTTGCATTCTGCAGGCAAGCTACCCTCGAAGTTGCTTGCTGGAGCAATCGCATCACCGCCTTACAAGCCAGGGGCAAACTAAAGAATGCAGCAGCGAAACCGGTCAATACAAACTGGCACAATGTCTGCCAATCATAACTGGCATGGTGTCAAGCACTGGGATTCTCATCAATGTGTAAAGTCATCAGTCATTCAGCACGTATACAATTTATATATTTGTAGTTTAAAGCCTAGTCTTGAGTCATTCAGCAAAGGCTCGATAAAACATGTAAAAAGAGATGAGATCAGAGCCTTGCAATTTCACATTAAATGACAAGAGTTGAGACATCAAGCTTCTTGCTTTCTGGGTTATTACTTGTTTAAAAAAAATACCAAAAACAATGAATCACGATTTCAAACAACAAAACACAAAAAGTCTGTGCGCAGACTGTTTCAAATGTTTGATATGTTTGTTTTACCCGCGTTCTTTGTTTCATATTTCCCAAAACTTGGATATCTATAGTTTTTGTTTGTAAAATAGTTTTGTCGTCTCATGACCAGAGATTTGAGATGCTGAGCAACAAACAAACAAACAAACAATAGATGAGAAAGGTCGTCATGACAACTGAAATGAACCACTGTCAAGATTCTTGTATGCGACGAAATGTGAGATGAGTGAGCTGGCATGCAGCTGAACCAGAATGAAGTGGAGTGAAATTTTGTGGATGACACCACTTGAGGCAGCACCACGTGATACAAGAACAAGTGGTGCGGGGAGATTGAGTCAAATCATGTGAACGAGACCACGCTGTGATTTGTCAAATTGGGGCGTGGAACACATACATGCATGTGTCTGAAGTTTGCTGTAAAGTCCTAGGCTCAAGAGAGCCAAGAGACTCTAAAGCGCAAAACCACAAGGCCAACCACTCAGACCTTCAGGAGCTTGAGCCTTACACCGCACAATGAACCAAGAATGAACAGCTCAATTATGCCGTTATGCCAGGCATGGCGGAAGCGCAGAAGCGCTACAAAGATATCCGGGCCTTCATGGTAGTGTATGGGCGTGGCATCATACGGCTGAAGATCTAGACTGATTGATGGTTGGAGCTAAATCGATTTACGTTTGTTTTGCGACATGATGCAATGATGCAGTGATGAATTTAACTGGTTGTTCATAGCTTTGCTACAAAAACAGTTGACAACTAACCGTGGATCCATCCAAAGGCAGAGTGATCAGGAGATCATTAGGACCAGCTTTGTCTGTATGCTGGATCAATTGAGTGAACAATAAACCTGATAGAACCCACGAACCCGAATGCAGTCACTTTGTATAGAAGCGTAGCACTCAAAGCGTTCTTGTTTTCGGAGATGACTCGCAGAGTCATCAACTAAAGCAGCGCCAGCACCTCCCCAGCCGTCTAGACACTCTTTCTTGACACACTTTCCTAGACAATCTTTCTTGACACTTTCTCTTGACACTCTTGCTGGGCACTCTTGCTTGACACACTTGCTTGACACTTTTGCTGGACACTTTTACAGGACATTCTTGCTTGACATTTTTGCTTGACACTCTTGCTGGACACTCTTGCTTGACACTCTTGAAAACAAGCATTTTTCACGAGACTTTCACCAGATACGACAATCAAAGCTTCCAATAACGAGCATTTTCCACGAGACGTTCTCTTGCTAAACAGTCTTGCTTGAAACTCTTTCCTGACACTATTTGCTAGACAATCTTTCTTGACACTTGTTCTCGACACTCTTGCTTGACACTCTTGCTGGTCGCTCTTGCTTCACACTCTTGCTGGACACTCTTGACACGACACTCTTGCTTGACACTCTTTCTTGACACTCTTTGCTAGACAATCTTTCTTGACACTTTCTCTTGACACTCTTGCTTGACACTCTTGCTTGACACTCTGCTGGACACTCTTGCTTGACACTCTGCTAGACACTCTTGCTGGACACTCTT